AACGCGAGGCTGGGATCGCTGCAGATCGGAGCGCTAGCAACAGCAACAATCTCAGAGGAGCAAGGGGTATAGCAGTAGCATTGAAAGCTGTCACATTCACCATAAATGTGCATAAAGATCTTAATATATGAAAATATGCATCTCCATGTGTTATCTACAAGTGTGCATAAAGGCAATATGGGAACTAGCTAGTAGCAGCTAGCAGCAAAGGAAACCTACCAACACTTCTGTCCTTCTCTTATCAAGCATCAGCGCAAGAGATACCTCTTGTTTGTAATCTGAAAGATGAGATAAACATGGACATTTGAGAAACAAGAAGCAGTAGTACCAAGTACAGTCATTTTAAGGCTAGCCCAGTAGCTAATAATTTCCATTTTCGTCATACAAATTCTGATTCCAGTGCCAAGAAATTATCACTACCTCCAGCTCCTAGCATGATCCATAATGTTATTTAGATTTTTTCCTCCTGGGTAGGACTATGTGTGCATCAGGGTGTTAATGTGTCCTATGATTATTTGAACACAATCTAGTGTCGATGTGAAGTGCTTAATATACAATACACCCATTGCAAAAATAATAATAATAATAATAGAGGTTCTTCTATTCACCTAGTTTACAATGACACCACAACTATAAAGCCAGGAGACCAATTATTTCATATTTAAAATAGAGATAACTTTGCATATAAGCAAGCTTCTTTCAGTTTTACAGAGCAGAACACATAATATCTAACAAGTATTAGAAGGGTACATGCAATCTAAGTTTAAACACTGTTTGTTCTTAAGATCTATAATGTCATAAGAACATGAGACTCTATTTAAACTTGCAGAAACGACTGGAGCAGTTAACCTTAAGATCTCTAATGTCCAATTTGAGGGCTTCAGGTTTCTTAACTCATCACTGCACTTCACTCCTAAAGCCTGGACTTCTATAAGTGCTTGTTTGAACCCCTGTTCAGAAACAAAAAAAAAACCCCGAAAAGACAACACATGACCAATAAGTACAGAAAAGTGCAAACAAAGTATGTAGAATGGTATATGGTATAGGCCATCTTCCTTAGGTATTGTGAACTTGTACAGTTGGACATATAGAAACAAGTGAACTTCTGTACATGTACCACCAAGGAACCACATCTTCTCATGTAACATTTTTTCTCGAACAAGCAGGAGAACTGCATATCATTATATTAAGAAGAATGGAAAATAGTGGTCTTACAGCACCACACACAAACCCACACCCACACACTCACAACACATTTAAACCTGGTACAGAACCTCACACTAGCAGATTAAGAATACTGACCCTTGACCAAAAGAAAATCCAAGAGTTCACTCATTGGTAGGCACTGGCGGCAGGAGATGTGAAACTCCTCGAGCACCAGCCAAACTCCAAAGGTGCAGAACATCTCTCAGAGAGACCAAAACATCCTCAAGGTTAGGATTGATTCCATCGAAGACACATCGATTACAATGATTCCATAGTGACCAAGCCCTAAGGATAACGATGGTGTTAAACCCTTTTCTTGCCTGACCATCAATTTTATTGCTTGTACTCGCCCACCAGCCGTCAAAAGAGATATCTGCAGGAGGGGGGGGACAGATCCTGCAGACCGACCTTCTGCAGAACCCTGTACCATACTAGGCGGGAAAAAACGCAAGGTTAACTGTTGGTCAATTGTTTCCTCATCTTGATCACACAGCGGGCAGTATTCAGGATGAGGCAACCCTCTTCTTGCGAGACGGTCTGCTGTCCAGCACCTGTTGTGTGCCACTAACCACATAAAAAAACTTGCATTTACCTGGTGCCCAGCTTTTCCAAATTCTCTCCCATGGGTCAAACTGCATGGCCCCAATGAAGAACCCCTCATATGCAGATTTGCAGAGTATGTTCATGAGGTAGAGGAAGGACGGGCCTGGTGCAAGTGGTAGAGTCTTCACGCTTTGTGACCGGAAGGTCCGGGTTCGAGTCATGGTCTCCTCGCATTGCACAGGCAGCGAGGTAAGGCTTGCCACTGACACCTTCCTCGACCCCCCACAGGCGGGAGCTCTCTGCCTTGAGTGCACGCCCTTTATGTTCATGAGGTAGAGAACCGCCAAATATGAGTCATCCACCTCAGGTTGTAATGCTACCTCTGATACCAAGTCCCATAAGTTGAGGTATTTTGACAGGACAGTTACTGTAAGTGCCCCCTGAATATCCTGAACCCATCTTGACTCATTAAGAGCTTCATGAACTATCCTTTTTTTCGCTCTCTTAGAGGGTATCCCAAAAAGATTAGGTGCCAGTTGGGCTACACTCTGACCATGCAGCCATCTATCAGTCCAGAACAGGGTATTTTTGCCATTGCCAACCTCTGAAATTATGGCCAATGAGAAGAAAGCCTTTTGCTGAGGAGCGAACCTGTATTTGAAAGGTTGCCAACGGTGGATCAGGTTCTCTCTTCTGTAGCCATAGCCATCGCATCCTGAGGGCCAGACCAATTGCTGCAGGTTGGAGATACCAAGACCACCAAGTTCTGTTGGCCTGGTGACCTTAGGTCAAGCCACCAGGCAGTGTCCCCCCTTCACATCCTTCCGGCCTCTCCAAAGAAAGCCTCGTTGGATTTTGTCAATGGCTTTAAGGGCCCAGGGAGGAAGATCCATCGCCATGGCTAAATACACCAGCATGGATGTGAGCACAAACTGAACCACCACTTTTCTGCTAGCCCTTGTGAGCAGCTCAGCTTTCCAACCAGGAAGCATATCTGCAATTCGGTCTATGATTGGCTGGAGTTGCTGCTTGTTGAATTTGCGCAGTGAGAGGGGAACCCCCAGGTATTTGCAAGGAAAGTCCAAAAGTTGGCAGGGGAGATGGTCCTGTAAAAAGGCCTTATCTTCCTCTGAGCACTGTATGGGAAAAACGTTGCTTTTTTGCATATTTGTTCTCAGCCCTGAGGCCCGCGTGTTCGGCTGTTAGGTTGCACAGTAGATTTCGGATGATTTTCAATGATTCATAAAGTGTTCGAGAGAGATAATGTTTAAAACAATCTGAAACATGAGCAGCCGAACACGCTAGCGTATAAAGAGATGTGGTGCTGCAAGGCCGTACTAGCTAGTGGCTGCATCTCAGATGCCTTTTTAACCATATAGCTGAGAACATCCACGACCAGGATGAAAGCATCGGAGACTGTCTAAGTCCTCGTCGATGTGAAATTGCTTCCTCGGGACTGCCATTGAGGAGTACCTGAGTGGAAGCTGAAGATAATAACCCAATAATGATATCACACCAAATAGGACCGAAGCCCAAGTGTCTCATGACCTCAAAAAGAAAAGGCCACGACACCGAGTCAAAAGCCTTTGTGATGTCCAATTTGAGTAGAATTTGGGATTGTTTTTGCTGATGAAGATACTGGGCAGTTTGTTGCACAAGCATGAAATTGTCTTGTACGAAGCATGAGATTGTCATGTATGAGGCGTGAACAGGGCAACAGGCCTAGCGTAAATCAGACGGGCTGCATTAAGCGTCGACGTGGCCGCACGAGGATGGAAAAGCGGTATACGAAAATAAGGAATAAAAAAATAATAAATAATATGGTAGATAACCATGTCGTAGTAACAGGTATATTTTATAGATAAGAATAGAATACATTCTCATCACCAAATCGAGGACTACACAGGCTTAGTTGGGCATGTTTTGGGCAAATTTGTGCTTCGTTTTCAAAGCCACTGCAAATCTACAATTCCAACACAGGTATTAAAAAAACTGCGAAAGACACCACAAATCTGCAATGCCAAAAGGGGACATGGTCCAGTTTGTAAACCACCAAACTTTCGTAACTTGTATGCACCGGTAGCTGCTGTTTGGAACAGGGGAAAATTTTCCGATTCCTGCGTTTTTCCTGTAAAATTGAACGGATTCCTGTAAAATTCTTGCGAAATTCCTGCATTCCAAACAAGCCCATGGATTGTTCCCTGCTCGTCTCTTCCATGAGAGATGCAGACTCTGCAGATAGTTCTTTCCTAGTGGTAAATGAGCTTGTCAATCTCACCACGAGCCTGCTTGTATTCTCCTGCTTCACACTACAAGCTCCCCAACCAGAGCACGGACGCACGGTTATGTGCCAAAAGCCTCGGGAGTTCAACTTCCTATAACTCGAGCTCATCCTGGGACTTACTGGAATGGGTTAGATCCATCCCTGACTTTTTGAATGGAGTGAACCCGTTTCTTATTTGGTTGTATGGGTTGGGTTCATCCCAGTTTCTTATTTGGTTTAAAAGTGGGATAATATAAGATACCTTACAACTAGGGCTCACTGTCATTCTTCTCCCATGATGACAAAACGCGCCGCTTGAGCTCCACCCACCCCAGAGCTCCATCCGTCGGAGCTCCACCGCACCGCACCTCGGCGCACTGGAGCTCCTACGCGCACCGAACCTTTTGCATGTGAACAACACATAGGGGCCCTTGCGGATGAAGAGGGGCCATGGACGGCAAGCCGCGCATCCCCTAGCGGCAAGTGCCTCCTGGCGGCGCCGACGAGGGGCCAGCGGTGGTGGCCTAGCACTCAACGAGAAGCCCGGCGGCGACGAGATCCGAAGCCCTGTGTGGCGGTGCCTCTCTGGTCGCACGAGAAAGAAAAAACGAAAGGAAGATCGAGCGATGAGGAAAAGTGGGTCGACCCTGTCCACTTGATTCTAAGGAATCGGCTCGAGCATCCAATAGGTATATTCCTTATCAGGGTTGTTTAAAACTCACTCGGTTCCGCGCAAGACTAGAGCATTCAGGACTCGTGTTTCATCCACATGCTGATGCTCGATGCTGTTTATTTTTCAGAAAAGCTCTCCTTCTAGAAACTAACCTGCAGCCCATCGTCCATGAACAGTGTCCATGTCTAGAAATGTTTTACATAAATGACCCCTGATATAAATTTTATTTTGACAGAAGAAGAGAAAATTCGAGAGTTCCTTCATTTTGCAGACAACCCCTCCACCCGGACCGAAGCCCAGACACATAACCCCTCCTCATTCTCCTCTGTCCTTTCTCTCTGTCTTCTCCCTGCTCGCCGCCATCGCTGGTGCCCAGGCAGCCGCACGAGCTCCGCGGCATTCTAAAGACACGGCAGCCAGGCGGGGTCGGGGGAAGTTGCGCGACATTGGTTTTGGTGGTCGGCGGACTCCCCGCGTCGGCACATGTGTGCGTAATTCGGCGAGTTGAGCTCCTCCACCTCCGGATCTAATGTAGTGGCCCCATGGGCTAGGACAGTCCAGGCACATGAAGACCAACAGCTTCGTCGCTTTCACCGGATCTACTAGCTCCCCGGCCATCATGTTGGAGCGTTCCTGCTTCCACCGGATCTGCGAGCTCCCCATCATGTGGGTTGTGGGAGCAGAGATCGAAGAGGAGGCGGCGTCCAGCTAGGGTGGCTCGCGGATCTCAGTCATCTAGCAGCAACCTTGAGCACTCCGACGCTCGCTGGAGTGGTGGACTCTGTAGGCAACAGCGAGCTGCAACTGGTTCATCCCACTCATCAGGTACTGTGAATTGGTTTGGTTTGGGGATTCGTCAATTCACAAACAGACTCCCTGATTTTTATCTGTTTCTTAGTTGATTAGGTAACAGTGGGAGCAAGTGAATGTGGTGGCGAAAGGGGTTTAGAGAAGTGGGAAGATTTCATGATAATTTCTAAAATAAAGTTAGCAGAAGAGTGGTATAATGTTGAAATGTTACTCCTTGAGAGTTGAATCCACAATGATGCCATATAGTCATTTCTCTCTTCTTTGTCATACTAAGCTTTGCCCATGTTTAGTTATGACTCAGTGATGCAGTTATGCAATTCTGCAATCACTTATCACGTTTCCTATACCCATTGTCTTGTTGTGCTCTGACTGACCCTGACGATACACTTGGTCCTGGAGGATTTGTATTTTGATCTGATTTACTTGCAAATAAGTGTACGCAACCAACTTGGATTTTTGTTTAAAAAATTATTGAGTCCTTTGCTGGTTCAGCCCATGTCATGTACTCCCTCCATCCCAAATTGAAAGTCATTCCAAAAATTTTGGAAAGTCAAAGTTTTTCAAGTTTGATCAAATTTATATAACAAAATAATAATATTTATCATACCAAGTAAGTATCATTAGATTCTTCATTAGTTATATTTTCATATTATACATATTTGATGTCATTAATCTTTGTGTTTCTCTCTATAATTTTAGTCAAACTTGAAAAAGTTTGACTCTCCAAGATTCTTGGAATGACTTACAATTTGGGATGGAGGGAGTAACTTGTGAAATGGTTGGTTTTGCACTGCAGTGCATTGTGCTTCTGCAGCACACCAAGAAGGGATGTTTCTTTCATGATATACTTCATTATCTTGCACCACTTCTAATCTACGTTCTTCTTCTTGCACCACCACTGTAACCAAGCAATCCTGCCCTCATTTGTGGTTATGGACGAACAGGGGTGAATCTAGGAAAAATCATCGCCGGGGTCGGTCTAGACTTAGCCATAACTACAGTTGACAATAATTTAACACCGTGCATAAAAAGAATAATATTCTGCAAATAGTAAGCATTCATACATTCATACATGTAACGATAACATAATGCAACAAAAGAAACTATTTACAATAGTAGTTACCTCTTATAATTTCACCCTGCGAGTATGATCATCCATATTCTGAAAAAGAACAATGATATCATTTGGAATTGCATCAAGAAATACTTGCTCTCATTTGTGGTTACTAGTGAATAGGCGCGTGCGGCACGCACGTGCTTATAGTGATGATTAGAGAATTTATATATAAATCAGTAAGAAATAAAATTAATTAATATTATGAGAGATGGTAGATTCTAATAAATATATTCCAAGTAGTATGATAAGGAAATTAAGAACTTTTTTTAATATACACGCACATTAGTTCTATATATATGGATTGTAACAGAAAATGACATATGAACCAACCATAATCATTAAGCATTTATTTCAGCCATATATCTTCTATAAAAAACTCGGAAAAAAACAAAGTGGAGTGGTAAGGTATATAGTCCACCAAAATACAGGACAATCACATATAGCTTAATACAATATTAGCCGATGCCCGTGCGTTGCTACGGGTAATAAAATGGGTGACAAAACTAATTAATCCAATTTGCTCCCAAAAGAAGGGTTTTCTGGCACCAATAACGAAGTTAAAGCGACACATGATCTATTAATTTGCATCATAGGTATAAGTGGAAATGAAACATTAGTCAAACTATATAGCAGTTCGCGCCTTGCAGTCCAAGGCATGGATATATCAACAAAACACAGCCTTGTTGAAATCTGCCAAAATGAACATCAATCAAACTCTATGATAGTTCATGGCACCGCTCTGCGGCAGCAACAACAGCCCTAATCAGCGTTGCACAAAACACACCCTTCTCGAGCTCCTGAACCTCGGCTATGGTAGTCCTTCCTGGAGAAATGACCTGATCTTTCAGTTGCCTGGATGTTTTCCTCAGGAAACCTAAACAACACATACATAATAGACAAAAATGTCATGAGAAAGTGCAGATAGCAGTGGAGTAAACTGAATATGTACGTATGATGCAAATAAAGAAACTCAATTTTCTGAAGCAAGATACAAACGTTTATCAGGAGATGGTGACTTAAAAGAATCACACAACATATGCAAAGAGTGTATCACAGCATATCTTAATGAAATGGATGCTCACTGTTTGAGATAAAAGATCAAGGGCAAGTGCCTGGTAGTGTCTTTTGTGAGTTCAAAGTTGCTCAAGAGGAGAAAAATGGTAAGAACTGGATGAGAAATATCTTGCCATGTCATTGAAATTAAGTACCTGGAAGGCTACAATAGAGCTAAAAGGCTTTGTCAACAAATCCAAACAAGGGTGCATGAGGTCAGGTAGCACATCTGCAGGAAATTCATGTAAATCCCCACCAGCAAGCTGGTACAAGAAGCATTTTGCAGTAGTAATGGCCTGAAGGTCACTGGAAACACATAGTCAAGTGCAATTTGTAGCAAGGGCAGGGTGCTTAGAGCAACTCCAAGAGACTCTATGTCCTTCCTAATTGTTAGGAATAGAGATTTTGATTAAAAAAAATACCCTCCAACAGCTTTTTTATTTGGTTATCCAAATTTAGCCATCTTCTATTCTGGATTTCTCGCTAGCTAAAGATAGACAATGAGAATGGCTCTCTAGAGTGCACACAAGATATAGAATAACCGTTGAAGAGTAGAAAGATATAGAAAGCGGTTGTTATGCAAATGGCTCTCCAATTGATGATTTAGAGATGAAATTTAGAAAGACTCTTGAAGATGCTCTTAGAACTCTACCATATAGTGAGTGCATGGTTCACTCTGTTGTTACTGAATTTGAGTGCAGAGAAGTGAATAAGAGGATCTGAACACATGACCACAAAACGGTTGTCAAAAAACCAAAAGATTCATAATCAAACTTCTCAACAAATATTTTTATGGAGATATCAATGTAATGGATCCTTAGAAGAAAGCTCAGTTCAGATACTGTAACCAAACAATTAACTATTTAGGAAGCTTGCTTGTCTACCATGGTAAGATATGTCATAAAGCTAAAACTTCAGGTCTGAGCATCCTGTAGATCATATTTTTCATTAACCCAAATATGAAAGGACCTGTAAGGAGAAATTGAGTATTTTATAGAGAAATAATTTAGAAAAGATTCCTGTAAGGAGAAATTGAGTATTTTATAGAGAAATAACTTATTAGGTAGCTAGCTATTGATCCTAGGCTAAAGACACAGTCATACGTATACATTTCAGCTTATCTTTTATTCGCATGGGACATTTGTACTCAAAGTAAAGGTATCATTGGTTCATAGCCATGCTACACCACACCAAAAATGCCACATCGTGCGTGTGATAAAAAAGTATTTTAGACAAAAAGCCTTACGCATAGACATCTCTGAAATATGGAATGAGGTTAGTCTCATTCGGATAAAAAAAACACTAAAGAAATTGACAAATTTTGTTACAGCACACATCAATAACTACCATTTGGGTCTCTTGTTTAGATAGCTTTGCAAAATTAGCTCAAATAGATGCTTGATCTTATCAGCACACATAATGGGCCAAATGATGTTGCAAAATACAATATTGAAGTCTATGTGATTCATCTGACTGATTAATACTCTATTGCATGTGCTAATGCATTTCTTACCTGAAGGAAGCGTGAAATGTGCCGAAAGTGTGGTGGCCTCTGTTTGTAGCTTTTTACCTTCTTCTCCAACTCACTGGTGTACTTGATCGTCCTCTCCTTGGACCTCGCTGCTGACTGCATTCAGTAAAGATCCTATTAAGAAAAAAAAACATTTCAACGGCTCAGAAATTTATCAATCACTTCACCAAAGGGGGAAAGAAAATGGCTTGACACATGCAGTGACAATACTACTAATCACTGTTAATTGTAAAGAAGCAACGAACAAATGTGCCTAAAGTATTTAATTTATGGGGAAAACATATGCCCTCCTCAAAAATATCATTTATCATCTAACACTGACCAAACCAATTTACCCAGATAGCTACTTGAACGGTGCTACCATTTAATTCAGAGCATACATAATCTTGTATAGTTTTTCTATCTGATACAAAGATAATGTGCAACTTCTAAAGACAAAAACCTCATGCCTCAAAGCCTTGCTGGCAACAATGGTGACTGCAACAATAGAGGTTGTAATTGACTTCAAAATCCACAATCAAAGTTACATGTTCACACCTGTTCCATAGACCGCTGATAAGAATGTCGTTAACACCTGTTCTGCTCCTTGGGTCGCCTGATAAGAATGTCGATTTAAGGCAGCTGAAGGATTGGAGGTGTGAAAAAGAATTCTGTTAGCCCAGTTTGTGTCATCTGGTGGCTTGACAGAACAAAGCAATATATACTATAAGATAGGAAGCCTTAATTGAATATATTGGAAATACCTCTCCCTCTTTAGTTAGCGCAGTTGAATGCCAACCTCCAGAGTAATGTCAACCTACAATTATAAGCTGCAGAAGTAAATGGAACAAGTGAGCAATTAGGAAACCATTAGTCCATTATGATGATAAATTACCAATTTAACAGCAAGCAATGGCGCCCTGATGTTCATAGGCAACATCGGTAATCAGTTAAACATTCTTTGCAGTAGGATTATTGTATCATGAGTAAGCCCAACTACTCTAACTCATTCACTGTTCTCCAACCTCTGGTAAGCACAGATAAATTGAGGATAAGTACCTCATGTCAGCATTGTACCTCATGTCTTCCAGTTCTATCTTTCTCCACCTGCAAAATTGAAGGCAATAATCATGAGTAAATAACCATCACACGTGTACCTCGCAGCTACTCACA